TGCAGCGGGCTTGCCTCGACGCCCGGGGGCTCCCTCTGCGTATAGATCCCTTAAAGCTTGAAAGAAATTATAAGTGCTACTAAACCATAAACCCTTTCTGAACGAGGTCTCTCTGAAGTGCCTCCAGCAACCCTAAACCCTAAACCCTAAACCCTAAACCCCAACCCTAAACCCTAAACCCTATAAATCCTAAACACTTAACCCTAAACCCTAAAACCCCAAACTTTAACCCATAAAACAGGACAGGACCTAGGACCTAGGACAGAGTGGGACTTCGGGCTTGCCAGCTCGGCTGGAGGTCTGGGTGCTCATTCTAAGATGCGCCGAAGCGCCTGGGGTTTAGGGAGGGTTTGGGATTTAGAGTTTAGGGGTTTTGGGTTTTGGGGTTTAGGGGTTTCGGGGTTTTGGGGTTTGGGGTTTGGGGTTTAGGGTTTGGGGTTTGTGGGTTTAGGGTTCTGGCACGCAGGTTATCCTAAACTCAGTGCTCCCCAAACATCCTGAAACCCCCAACCTTTCAGACCCCAAACGCGCTTGCTGCCGCAGCACACAGAAAACCCAAACCTTCAAACCCTGTCAAGACATCCCCTGTGATACGTATATGTCGAAAATAACTGCTTACTAAGTCTCCCGACCCTGCAAGTACACCCCAAGAGCCTGTTCGACGGCTGCCTGCTCGGAAGCCTGTCAGGTGCTCAAATGATTCAGTGTTCAGGGCTTACTTTCCAAATTTAAGGGTCATGGGATTTTGGGATGCTATGGTCCGATATTATTATGGGAACTTCGGTATCACGACTAATGATTCCGGACCCTGAAGTATAACTATATAAAAGCTCACGCCCCGAAGCGCCAAGTGCTAGGGCCTTTCATGCACTGCCATGACAGCAAGCCCGAAGTTGATTGAAGTTGGGTAACCCGTCAGGGTCAGAGTGGTCTGAAGCCATACTTGGAGGATCATGGGACTTAGTAAGTAAGGTTATAAGTCCCTTCATTGGGGTTATAAGTATAGTTACCCCAATTATAACCCTACTTACTAAGTCTCATGATCCTTTAAATAGCCTTTGAGCTGAGGGCCTTAGCTTCGAAGCCGGAGCCTCCAATCGAAGCCCTGCCCTGGAGCCTCAAATCCTCTAGGTAACATCTAACACACCTCAGCCCTCCCAAACGGGTTTAGGGTTTAGGGGTTTAGGGGTTTAGAGGTTTAGGGGTTTAAGGTTTAGGGGTTGATGGGGTTTAGGGGTTTAGGGTTTAGGGTTTAGGGGTTTAGGGTTTAGGGTTCAGGGGTTTTGGGGTTTAGGGGTTAGGGGTTTTGGGGTTTAGGGGCTTTGAGGTTTAGGGTTTGGGGGTTTAGGGGATAGAAAACGGTCCTGAATAATTAGAACAGGGTTTCGGACTAGTTGTATTAAGGATCCTAAGGGGTAGAAACCCTAAACCCTAAACGTAGTGCTGGTAGCCATTCCAAGACCTATTATTTAGGCCTCAACAGAGGCATGGGGTTTAGGCTTAGAGCTTTTTTGGGGTCTTTTAGGGTTTCGGGTGCCGGTTCGGGGTCTTAGGGTTTCTAACAACATCCCATGGGTTTAGGGTTTAGGGTTTACGGGGCTAGGCTTAGGGCTTCTAACAACATCCCCTGGGTCCAGGAGCGGAATCGGTGTTCTCAGATCTGAAGGATGGGCACACTACTGCTGGTAAATGTCGACATCCGAGTGTGCCGAAGCAAGTCTGCGTTTGCCTGGACTTTGCCTGCGAAATCATCGGGGTCATAATCAATGGCATTAGCATCAGCGCAAGCAAGGAAACCGCAGCACGCACATCGGAGAGATCTGCTTCGACAACCAATTAAGCTATAATTGCTTCGACCTCTTCAGGGGAGCTGTCACAGCGAGCCTCCAGGCAAGGAAACCACTGGTGCTGGTTGTGGCTGCCGATAAAATGGCACAGCGGCACAGCGTCTCAAAATGCAACAAGTCGATCGTTTGCCTGGCCTCCGATGGTCCAAAGTCTAAAATGCACAGCCAACACCGCGCCGTGCTGTGAATCCTGAACGCATGAGCGCTAACAGGAACCCGCAACCACATGCCCAGAACCTCTCAACCATAAAACCAACAGCCTTGTCCAAGCGCCCTAGAAACCCACAACCCTAAACTCCAGGCCTCAACTCCTGAAGGAACCAAGCACCGTAACCCCAACCAAGAAGCTAGCACGCTGTGTCAAATCAGAAAACCACAGAATCAGGTTCAGAATGAGTCCCTCGGAACCTTCAAGACTTCCAGATTCCGTCAATTTCAATCCAAGACTAGCCCCTACAGTAAAACCCCGAAGGCCTTAACCCAATTCCCAAGCCCTGAAGCCATAAACACAAAATTCAAAGTCTGAACCCGAAGCCTTAACCCCCCGCCAACCCTTCTGCCCTAGATGTTCCCAATGCCCGAGGTCCTCAGCTCCAGCCCGTGCCCCTGAAGGTCCACGTACCACTGTATAATACATCCCAAAATACGTTTACCTAAACCTTTAGGCACATGTAGATGCTATTATAGCCATGTACCACTGTATAATACATCCCCAAAATCCATTTACATAGACACATGTAGATACTATATGTAGGTACACCACCCCATAGAAAGCCCTCGTAGAAGCCATGCAGCACCCGTAAACAGCCCCTTCTAGGTACATGGACCCGACATAGGCCTAAACCCTGAAAGCCGTAAAGCCTAAACCGAAAACATCCTTACAGAACCCTTTAAAGAACCCCTATAGATCCCTCCAAAAGGAGAAACACTCAAAAGAACCCAACACGGAAATAAACCCTAAACCCCTAAACCCTAAACCCTTCTAGATCCCTCTTCGATCCCTCAAAAGAAGCCCTTAAGGGAACCAAAAACCCCCTGAACCCCACCGGAAATCTGGGAGCCCGCGCCGAGGAAGTAGGCGCGCCCTGGGAACCGGGCATCCTGGGGCCGGCCTCGTCGTTTTTTTTAGGGGTTTAGGGGTTTAGGGTTTAGGGGTTAGAGTTTAGGGGTTTAGGGGTTTAGGGTTTAGGGGTTTAGGGGTTTAGGGTTTAGGGGGTTAGGAGTTTAGGGGTTTAG